TTAAACAAGACCTTTCTGGATTTATAAAGTTTCATAATAGCTTTACATAGACACAACGCGCATTTGCTAAATATATCGGCAGAAGAAGCGGGACTTGAAGCGGGACTTGAAGCGAAATCAGTTTTTTCCCACGGCATCCTCTTTCATTTAGGTTAGACACATATAAAATACTTGTTTACCGATTTACGTTCGCTCTGCAAAAGGACGAGATAAGCCCGAGAGTGCAAACAAGTATCCCGCCGCGAGTGATGATTAAAGCAAAGATAATAAACATTCACTTTTCGTCCATCGTGTTGAACGCTGTGTCGAGATTGCTTCGCTTTGTGAGTACTCGTGAGTAATTTCCCATCACGAAATTGGCCGGTTACATAAACCCTAAGAAATACAAAGGAACACACCCACGCTACGTAATTACACGTCTGCATCGTCGAAATGTCGCTGCAACAGGCGCTAGCGCCAAATTGTTGTCATGATCGTTACGTTCAACGCAATTAGACGTCTGAATTTTCCGCGTCAATAATTGCTGGACACTTTCTTGGGGCTGTACACGCCCACCCTAATTCCGAGCGAAGGAGAGAAGAGCAGCAGAACGTCTTGTAAAATCTGCGTCACGACGAAAAGAATAAAATCGTCAAGTGACGCTTTTCCTCTCATCACAGAATTATGAAATTTCAAGATTCTACCGTCGGTTACCGCTTTGTTCGCTTTCGGCGGATTCAGAGTGAAGTCTTCAAAGACGGAACAATGAAAAGATATAATCTTGTTTCGGTGACTGAATGAGAGATTATCTCGGCTGCCGCCGCAAGATGACAAACGAATAATAATTGTCCAATTCATGTTCCGTTATTATTACTGAATAATTTCGCAAAAGCGCGACTCGTTAATAATAAGAAGATATCCTTTGGCGAATTTTCAACCAGTCTTCTTGGACAGAATTCGTTTCACTCGAGACGTAACTTGAAAATTATTCAACGGGAGCAATTAGGGTGAAATTTTGCAAAATTAAATTAATTTGCAAAATTAATTAATTCGTCGAGAACTGATACGTGATTTTCTACAGAAAACAGAGAGAAGAGAAAAAGAGAATGATTTAAAGTGAGCTCTATTTTAATGGGTAAGTATGATTAAAGCTTCAACGAGAATAAAACGAATATACTGCACTTTCAATGTATAGCTTTTTGTAGTCGCATATCGACGATAGTTGATGAACGAAAGTGTGATTCGTGTGTTTTCATTGTGAGAACTTCCATCAGATATATACTGTGAAAAATGTTGAGTTAAATTTAATGCATTTTACATGTGCCGATTTGTCCATTCTAATTTATGTCAATTTAACACAAGCTAAATATGTAGACAAATAACGCGAATAATATGTCGGAAAAAACAAGGATGTAACGCTTGGGCATTATTGTATAATTTTAACGTTTAAAAATAGTGAGTATAAACTCAATGCACAGAATAATCCAAATAATGCAACGAGACAGCGGAACATCGTGTTATGTTAAATTAAATATGCTGAATTAAATATTTTAAATCATGTTTTAAATGCATTAAATATATTAAATAAATCAAATATGTTAAATAAACACACTTGGATGTTACATAACTTTGCATGTTAACAATTTGACATACAAATTTCCACATAGATCGATTTCAATACAGATACAAAATGTTCTTTATGTGTAATAAATAGCACTTTATCTATCAATAGAGCAAAGTGAGACAGTACATTGCAAATCCAATTGTTATTTAGACTGAATATCTTTTCAGTCAGTGTTTGTCGCCGTTTTAAGTCACGTCATTTAATACATTTAAACATATTAAATTATAATTTACGTTTCTCTCTCAAACGTGTTAAATGACGCAACTTGAAGCAATGAGAAACATATGAAACGAATTACACGCTTATGCGTTGAAAAATAACAATACTTAAATTTGCAGTGCACACAACTATGAGCGAGGGGAACGATTCAATATTATGAGATATTTCTTTCGCCGATTGTCGAAATCGGCAAGTCCGAATTTTTCATTTCTCGATGATTTGACAAGTAAATTTACCACGTGAGAGAATCCCTGGAAACATAATGGATTTTTTTCAACACAGATTTTCAATTTAAATGTTCGTGCCGAGGGGATAAGCGAAACGCATGCGGAAAAGAAAGGATGAAGCATATAGAACCGAACTCTGTGAATTGCGCCGAAATAAATCACAATTTTGGCCGGTCCTACGTCAGTACGTGCTCGATTCTGTCTGTGATTGGCAAGTGGTTAGAGAAAGAGAGAGAGAGAGAAAATGGACAAAAATTCAGTCCGCATATAATATAGACAAGTCAAAACCACAAATCCTTCAACTGGTTTACAACATTCTTTTTTAAGGCGAGTGCTTTCAACGAATGAAGGGGTATTTTCTGGAATAAAATCCCCGTGATGCAAATAAACCAAAGCTTTGCTTCTCGGTTAATCCCAGTTTTAATTCTTGCCAACAGAGATGTTTCAGAAACAAAGGTAAAGTACGCAACATGTTTCTATCTTCGAGAAAGATATCGAGAAAGATTTCGCTCTCATCTGAAAAGTCATTCGTTCTTGGGAGAAAATAATCCGCATGCGTGAAATGACACGTGAAGATTCTGCGATAAAACTTTGTTGTTTCGGAGGAGATCCAATTCTCCTTGTAGAATTAAAAGCTCGAGCAAGAAACGCCTCGCCGCAAACGTCGACTTTTGTCTCAAGTCCAACGCGAGATTATCTCGAAGCTACAAAAATCCTTTTTTTCCTTCAGAGTCGAGCACAATATCGAAGCGCCTAATCCAGAGCAAGATTCGCGTGGCGCGAAATTGAAAAGGACGTCGCGAAGACGATCTTGTTAAGATAAAAAGCACTCTGCGTGTTACCTACCGACTACTCGCGACGCATTAACGAGGATGGTTTTCTCTCCTGCGAGTGCCTATGCATAATAGAACGACCGGCTATCGCGGCACATTTTTGCAGCAGGATTTTTTGACACGCTCGGACTCTCTATAGCAACCGTGACGTCACGCGAATTCGCCCACGCGCAAAACGTCAGCGTCATCTAATAGCGATTTATGACAATGACACACCTCTCGTCGTTTCAGTTGCAAAATACAGGGTGACAGCTTGATCCGCGCGTATTTTGGAAAACCTCATCGACTGACGTTCACACCAACGTCACACGTGTCGTGGGTAACGATTGTCTACGAGAGACAAGTATGTGGCGAAAAATCTCTCCTCCCCCTCCACTGTATATCCATATTATCAACTTATATTAATAGTTGTATCACCTGAAATTGTTTCTTGTGAGATGCTCAGATTTTCTTATTCACAATCAGATCAAGTTTCTTCCAAGTTGCATTGTATAATATACGTGATACTTGTATTTGATGAGTCAACTGAACAACTTTCATTTATCTCTAAATTAAAATCTATATTAATAGTCGTACTGTAAACTAGTCTTATATAAGATAAAAAATTAATAGTCGTACTGTAAGCTAGTCTTATATCAGATTTAAATTTAATATATAATAGTTAAATTATAATAGTTAAATTATAATATATAATTTAATATATTAATAGTTGTCACCTCTGAAATTTGTCTTCTATGAGATATATATTCAGATTTTCATTCAGAGTTGGATACAAATTTTCCTGTTGCATCATATAATACGTGTGACACTTGTGTATCGGTAATCGCGATTCAAATCAAAATCTCTTATATAACTCTGAATTCAAATCTGAGAATCTCACTGAGTGTCTCACTCTTGAGACGAGTTACAAGTAAAAACTATTAATACAGACCTTCGAATTGGATCTGAACTTCTTGATTGGATTATATGATATTATATTTGGAATCGTGATTTAACTAACAAATTCACATCTATCTCTAAATTCATAATCTGTGTATCTCACTTGAGGTAAGTTTCAAGTAATAATTATTACTGTCTGTGCTTTCACAAAATTACGTAATTAAAAAGAAAGAAAACCAAGTGTTTTGTGAGAAAAGTTCCTCAAATAAATAAATTCCTAGTTATATGTTAAATCTCCGCGATAAAGAGACGACGAAAGCACGAGTTTGCAGAGCGATAATGAGCGGCGGTCTTTACGGTACGGAACATCCTGTAGTCCCGTGAAACGAGATTATTTGCACGGGAGTGACGTTCTGTTCAAGAGATATTACATATTACATATTACACATCGAGAATACGCGTGAGAATATATTGTAAGTATTCCACAATGTCCATGAATGGACTAAAGAAACATGACCTTTGGAAAATCAATAGGGCTTCCACTTGTCGTCGCAAATCTCTCAACCTTCTTTGCTTGTTCCCTGCCGATCTTTTCTTCGCGTAATGCGCTTATGCAGTCCGTCTGTCCGCCTTGGTCGTGCATTTCGACACAGGGGCGCTATTTTAAACGCGCATAGAACGCCAAGGCGTTCTGAACTCTCTTTCATTAACCAAAATATAGGATCAAAGTATAAGTCTAAATTGACTTAAAAACTTTCTTGACTTTCAGTCACACGTAGAAGCACTTCGATGAAAGAGACCCCAAGGTAAGCGCCTAAATACGCCTTTCTGATTCTCCGGCGTTTTACGTGACGCTCGTACAGGAAAAGTTGGAATGAGAGAAGGGCGTGCCTATGACGTTCAATATGCGTGCTGAATGAGGTCGGAATGAGGCCCCATGACGTCGAGAAAATCGCGCCGTGCCGCGTCACCGACGCGATCCGCGACTCGAAACTTCCCCTTAACGAAGACGGGATCCCGGGGACGAGAGTTCACGCGCCTAACCGACAACGAGGAAGTCTCTCTCTCCACCTCGCTCACGCGGCATCGCGGCGCGAGAGGGTGGCTGAGCGAGGGATGAACGGGGGCATGGCAAGAAGAGGACGCTTGCGCCCCATGACCGCGTGGCCGCTTTCGAGCCACCTGTGCGCCCACCCTCTCTTCACCCTGTCTCTCTCTTTCATCCCCATCGAAAGCGCAGCGGCTTCCCATATATATAAAGGTGCCCTCGGTATCGCCACACTTCGCATCATTACCGCGGTAACGTGCAATCCACTCAATCTCCTAGCCGCTCTGATCTTCGTTCTAACACGAGAGACCTACGCCCGGCGTGTATCTCGGTGAGTTCGACGATTTCTGTCGTAAGCATACACATACCCCCTATCGTTCCTTGTATCCTCGTTGTCGTGTTACGGTTTATCTTTCGCGTGAAATGCCTGTCCACGCGGCCGGCCCGTAACTTACGTGTCTCTCTGTCCGGGTCCGGTCTCAGGACGATGAAATCTTGTTACGAGTTGGGTTTCCTTCGCGTCTCTCCCTTCTCACGTGCGCACCCACTTGATGTCGCGTTAACCGTCAGGAAAAGTGCTGGAGTTTCGGTGCGAAAACTGCAGTCGAGGTAACCGACAAAGAAGAATCAAACAGAGTTGTGTCCTTCACGTGGAAGGAAGTTATTCTGTTGACAGAGGCTTTGTCATCTTTGCGACGAGACGCTCGTAGGTAACGTTCCGCGCGAGCAGTATCTGTGTATAAAAATTGACAGAACCTCTTTTTCTCTCATGCGGAATATTTCGTCTTATAAATATTAATAATAATGAAAATACTTTCTCTTTCTTTTTTTCCTCTCTCCCTCTCTTTTTCTATGTAATAACGTATAATTATTCATGATTATTTAAAGCACAGTCATGCATCTTCCCTTCCTTTACCGGTCAGTTGTGCAAAGAGCTCGTAAATTTTCTTTCGAGGCATTTGACGCTTTTCCACACGCATTTACGCGGCGCATTAGCAATACCAAATTTACTATATCCGGCTCTCTCAAGGCGGAACTCTCCCGCGTCGCGCCGAACGTCACGTCAAACTTTTCGTTTGGAAACGCGCGCGTACGGGACGCGCGGTGTGAGGCAATCAAGTGGCCGGCATCGTTGAAATTCATCCTGGAATTCACCCCGCAATTCGATCCCCCGGCACGCGCACGTCGTGTACGCCAAGTCATCGTCTGGTTGAGCGCGAGTGCGAGAGCGTTGAACAGGACGATGCGCGATCACGACGGCGAAAATCGACGTGGCGCGAATGGAAAGTTCCACACGATGCACGAAGGAACTGTCAGTGCATAATTTCGTAATAACCAATTAACGCGGAGCAATTCAAAATCGATAGACGACTTGTTGATGCAACGCCTCATTATCGCGCGACAAGCTACGCTCCTTGTCATTGCGCGCTCATTAAGATGTTCTCTGATAATTAATTGATTAACGTAATGGTAATGGTTAATTGATTACGTAACGCCCAATTATCGCCGGAAATTAATTACAAATGGATATCGTTCCGCGGAAAAACGGTGCCGCGACAATGAATCTTTTATCGCACCGCATTTGCCGCCGTGTTTAATCGCCGATTGTTCAACACAAATTTGACCGCTCTCTTCGCGCGTTCGCGAAAAGTAAATGTATTAAAAGTCGATACAAATGGCGCGAGTGTTCTCTGCGGCGAAGGTAGCCGACGAGCAAAAATGCGATTTCGCCGTCTCTTCGGCGATACTTGTTCATTATTTACGCTCTGTAAAAGCCCGCGGCACGTCCCGAGAAAAAAGACAGGCAATTATTATTGCTGGGAAACTCGCTAAGTTAAATCGCCGTTAATCAAGCTCGGGGAGGTACTCCTCCGCATTAGTATTATTTGTTAGGAGGCGGTCGGAGGTTTTATATTTTCAGGTTGGGAGTTATTTTCTTTCCTTTCTTCCACGAGAGAAAGCTTAAGTCGAAATTTCGATCCTACCCCTTCGATTCTTGAATAATTCTATTTAATGTTCTAATTTACTCTGAAGCCTACATCAATCTCTTTTGATTCTATGCAACTTATTAATCTCGTTGAAAGGTCCTACTTAAAATTTAAAAGTGGCTTTTTGTGCTACTTAGAACCGCCAAGTAGAAGTTCAGTTTTCACGTTTATTAAATATACACTGATTCTTCAGAATATACAGATTAAAAAGTTTAAGTCAAAAACAGAGGGCTGAAACTTTGACACGGGAAGAGAGAGGTGGAATTTAATTATTAATAAAACGATGACAAGTACTTCTCCAATGAGCAAACCATAATATTGCAAAAACATTTGATCTCAGTTTAGGACATTTTAAGTGCATTTCCGAAATCTGCGGAGTCTATGATACCAAAAGCATTCCAAAAACTCAGATGTAAAACTATTGATTCTTCGACTTATTGCAAGAATTGGTAATTTTCCCTCGAAATTATATTATTTAATTATGAAATTATATTAATTGAAAATTTCTCACTAAAGTCATACATCAAGCATCAAGATGTTTCAAGATATAAGTTTAAATAAGAGCGCAGTTATCACCATTTAAGACAAAAACTCAGAACTACGGATAAGATGAAACTGCGAAATCTCTGAATCCTCACTTAATGCCGTTGAATTTCCATCGAAAAATTCCCGACGGATTTTTTGAGAGAACTTCGCAAATTAAAACCTTTTGCACAGCACACTTTGTGCGCGCAAAAACGTTATGCGGGACCCAACGATATTCACGAAAGTTTTCCACTTGCTTGCGTTATAAAGCTATTATACGTATACGTGTGCGTGTGTATGTGTTCCATGTTTAGTTAGTGAGTATGTGTGTGTTCAACACTGAATTCGCGAAACGATTAAACGGATTTACCCCGGTAAATGCGGTATGAGTAATCAACGGATCATATGTTATAACGTAACACGCCCACAGAATCGGCGAGAGTTTGAAATCGACAACTTAAAGGCAGACGTAGGCTGTAATAATTAGAATACTTTTGCAAACAACTACGTGGCATATACGAACATATAGCCTTGCTTTACAATAATATGGCAGCAAATTACACGTCTGATGAGAATATTTCAAATAAATTATGTTATCTTTTATTTTATATAACAAATCGAGTCTTTAGGAATACTCTGCACATTTTCAAACATGCTTTTAATAACATTTTCTATTTATTCTACTATTTGAAAGAAGATTTTAGCAATTTTTATGGAAAAATACCAGAAGGTATCGAAAGATACTCGTCTGAATAACGACATATTTTGCTGAAAAGACATCGGCAACTTGGAGTCAGATTGTGATAATATTGGAATTTTTGCAAGCGACATTTTGGCATACACGAACATCTAACCTCGCCTTGCAGCAGTATTGTAGGAAATTGCACGTTTGATGAGAATATTTTACGCAAAATATATCTTGTATTTTCTACGTCAAGTCGAACGGAGTATTTTGTACAAATATTTGCAAACATGCTTTTGATAACGTCTTCTATTTATTCTGCCACTTGAAATACGAGAACTTTTGTACACAGGATGTATTAAAAAATACTCTCGATTGAAACACTCTCTGAATAACGATATTTTTGTTAAAAAATATCGCGCTGCCTTTTCAAGCGACCTACACACAGTGTCGTCTCTATATCGACACGATGTAAATCCTTAATCAATTTCCACCGACGAGAGAGCAGACGTTGCACTTCCGTTGTTGCAACTTTTATCTGCGAGCTACCCGCGATGGCGTGTCATCGACGGTGATTGATCGCGATCAGCGTGAGAAAATCGATCGCCGTGTTCTCGCCCGACGATGAGACCTACCTTCGGCGCAGTCATCGGCGGCGAAACGACGGGGAAAATCGTCGTCGCTCGTCAGGCCGCGGATACGTTCGGGGAGCGCCTATTATCAGCTTGTATGCGAATTTCACGGCCGAAGGCGCAAATATTACCCGTCGGCACAGGTGTTACATACATACATACGTACATACACATGCACGCCCGCGCGCGAAGCCCTCTCGTCCTGTGGCCGCCTCTACGTTAATAGGGATTATCTCCGCATTAATACACTGTGAGTGTGTGTGTGTGTGTGTATCGTAATGCTCGCGCGCGCGCACACACATGCCCCCCGCCGTCGGGTATAGTCATGGTAGTTAAGCAACGAGTTACGCGCAGATAACTCTGACACGGAGACGTCACTCTCGCAAAGTCGCGATACGCGATTATACGTGATAACACGCCAGCTGTGAAAAATTAACGGCCGTATTCGCACTCGTAAATGTAATCCGCGCACGTGCGCATCGTAGCGCGGAGGACGCGATCCAAAGAGAATTTAATTTGCGATTCGATGAATTATTCAGGAAATGCGGTGTTGATGCTGATAGCTTTCTTTTCCTCTGACCGTGTTGATCACTGCGCGATGTTGGATAAGACTGTTTTCCTCAAAGCTGGTCACTTCAGTAGTCTAATCTCGATAACTGCGTTAATTGGTAACGCCACTTTGCTAATAGCCATAGGAACTAATAATAATGATGATAATAATACTTTGTCGGAGACGCCTTGTTCACAATTCATAGACAATGTATGAGTAACGCATAGGGAGAAGATTTTCTTTTCCTTTCGTGTCACTTTCAATTTTCAATTTTTTAAGGAAAATTAATTTCTCTGAAAATATGCATTGAGAAAAAAATAGAATAAACATTGTTCTCATAAAAAAATTAAAATAGAATAAACATTGTTCTCATAAAAAAATTAAAGTTTTTAGAAAATATATATTATCTTTTATTTGAAAAATATTTTCTATTAATCCAGATAAATATGTTATTATTACTCATCGAATAAATATTTTTTCTTTCTTAAATATTTTTTCTCTCAATGCAACAAATTGTCTAGCACACATTCAATTTTTGAAGTACAAAAAATACGTAAATAAAAAGTCAATTATTGCAGGGCATCGACCTTTCCTTCGGCTACAAAACTTTATCGTGTAATTTATATTATAAAATTCCGTAATATTTTGAATCCCTATTCTCTGGTAAAGATGTGTTCCTGACTTGTGCTTCAAATAGGAATTGAAAGAAATCTTATACAATTCCTGATATTTCCCATAATTCCTATAATTTTGCAATGCATAAAGACAACTGGAAAATAATCTTCTACAAATGTAAATATTATATTCAAATATTATTTTCGTTCATATAAATTCCTTTCAATTTTACTGTGTTCTAGCAGAAATAGACTGTTAGTAAGGTCTTGCTAAGGAACGTAGTAAATGCTTTCATGGCATAGTCCCTGAAATATAAGTAGTACATATGAAATGAAAAGATAATAAACTGCTGCAGAATGTCGATCTATTTCTCGATCAAATTCTGTATACAGCAAACTTTAAGAGAAAGCTTTCTCCACGTATAGATTCAAATAATATCTGAGACAACTTACCGGGTGACTTGAAACTAAATACAATCAGAAAGATAAGCGCGAGTTTGCGATGGTTAAACGAGGTTGGCCGTACGCAATAACAGCAATAACAGACGTAAGTTTATTGAGCGACCGAGATACGCATATTACGCGACAGCTGACCCTTCACAACGCGCCGAACTCGACATTCTAAAGGGTAATTTTGCGCGATTAAATTATTTTAACGGCGCTTCCGGAACACGCGCGCGATAATGCCAATCTCTTGCGTGTTATTTAACGACGGCCAAAGCCGACACTCCGCGATTGTTGGCGCAGTCTCTTAAGCTCTCCCGGTTCTCCCGCGTTAAACGCTCGCGACGTTCAAACGTCGCACGGTGGAATTATGTCAGCACGGCAAAGGTATTATTTAATTTCATGTGGACGAGAGCTAGGAGCACGCACACGACACGGCTACGCCGCGATCGCATTGTGTCACGTTTGTGCTCCACCCCGTTGTGTCCGGACTGCACTACTGTCTCTCTTGTTTTCACCGCGTAAAAAGTATATAAAAAAGAAAGAGAGAGAGAAAGAAAGAAAGAAAGAAAGAAAACCCATACCGATTAGATAACGCGGGCACGAAATACCGCGCATATGTCCGCAGCAGAGCCAAGTAGACCTGTAAAATTGTACCATAGGAAATGAAGTGCGGCACTGTTTGCCTGATTGCAGAGACCTGATCATGGACGTTAAACGCATCACAGGCCTGATCGCTTTCGTCGTGATCGTTGGCTTCGCTAGTGGAATCGAGAATTACATGGATTACGGAGGTAAGTTCGAGTTTAGGGCTCCAATATTCGCTCGGATCTGACACTATCCATGCGCCCGTTCAATAATTAACGGATTTATGTATTACGCTTGAGATTTAGTTTGTCCGCATTTTCTAAGAACAATCGAAGCATTGAATCCGAATGCGAGTCCGCAGCGGAATCCGCCGCACTAACGCGTTGGCGGAAATTTAGATAATTATTGACTCTTTAACAATCGATATTCATCAATTTCAGCATTCATCACGCAGTATCCGATTGTCTGAATAAATTGATATTTTCTCTTAACTACAATTTAAAGATCTGAAACGATTATCTCTATGCATCTATTTTAATCATAATTATTTCGAGAAATTTTGTAATTAAATTGTTTTGTTCTTTTTTATTTATCTGTTTCTTTTTATTTAATGCAAATCTACATTCGGGTCCCAAATTCGATTCTCGGTCTCTTCTTACTGCCAGTACTTCGACCCAAATAATTGATTATCGAAATAATACACTTTTGAGTTTTCGAATCGGAATCGAAATTGAATATCCAAATAACCAGATATCCTGAAAGCTCTATTATTAATTATAAGTTTTCCAAACCGATAATATTTACTTAAAATCCACAAAAAATATTGTTCCAGCCCGAAAATCAAATCCAGGGGGCCAATTTTTCCCTTAATGTAAATTTAGTGTGAAAAGTGAAATCTAGTTTTAGAATGTTCACTTTTCACGAATTTATATTGGAGGAAAGAGAGATTCAGGATTGTTTCCAAACATTGCTAAATTATTCGCTTTTCATGTGATTTCATACTAGGGAGAGAATAATTACATGATTGTAATGATATAATTACATGATTGAATTCCTCTACAATTTTCCAAGCCGGAAAAACGGTTTAATATCAAATATTTGTCTAAAAACGATATTGTTATCAAATATCTGAACATTGGTGAGCCCTATTGTTAATTATAAATTTGCCAAAAACCGACAATATTTAATAAAAATCCATAAAAATGCTAAATTAAAATTTAGCTCAAAAGTTAAATCCAGCAATTTTCCACGTCGTGAAAGCGGCCAAATATCAAATATTTACCTGAAAACAATATTGTTAGCACATATACGCGCGAGCGAAGGGATTTCTCGGTAAGATATAAAACTCTTTCGAAAGATATAAAACGTGTATAACAGTAAAATGAAAATCGCGCTTGCTCGATGGCCATCATGACGTCAACGGTATAGTTACCAACTTCTAGCTGTGGCGTGATCGATGGAATTGTTGGAGCATTACAGGAAAACAGCGAGAAATTGTCCTCTCGAGGATTAATACCAACTGTGACAAACTCGTGTCCTTTGATTGCCTTCCATTTTTGCGATTTTCGCTTTTGGATCAAGAGGACCCGCGTCCTGTCAATGAGCGGATTACAACCGATTTCCCCGATATCGCTTCACAAGTTGCTTTATTTTATCCGGATTAATCTCTCTCTCTCTCTCTCTCTCTCTCTCTCTGTCCTCTCCTCTCCTCTCCCTCTCTTTCTTCTTCTCTCTCTCTCTTTCGCTGCCAGAAACATCGCAACGATGCACAGTCAAGCGGGAAAAATTCCGCGAGCCTTGTAATCCCGCGATTCTCGACGATAGCGATTACTAGCGTCGTAATTATCATCGAATATCGCTCAATTCGCCGATGTCGAATAAACGTCGGTAATAAACTTTATTACATAAATCCATCGAAATCAATACGGCGCGTCCAACTTACGCTTTATTATCGCTGAAACTCCCGCTGAATTTATGTCGCTGTTTCACAATTGAATCGTCATATTTCAAAAGGGCACTTAGTCTATCTAGTTCTAATTTTTTTAGAAATACACAAAAAATGTCTAAAAAATCTTTTATTGCTAAAATCAGCAGAGATTTATTTCTTTATTTATAAATAAAGAAATCTCAGTTATATTGTCTACGAAAATTTCTTGATGCTCACCAGTTAACGTGAATTTTAAAAAATAATGGGTTTTAGTTTCTTTTAGAATACAACCACATTCTTAATATTCTTACTATGTAGGTGTATGACAAATCTCATGACAGATCTCATAAATCGAGAAAATAAATAATGACAATATATATCAAATCTGAAATAGACTATTAATAATAAAAAAAGAAAGAAATGACGTAGGTAAAGGAGTTTTAAACATATAAAAGGAGTGAATATTTCCAAGGTATTTTCAAGGTTAGATTTTTCACTTTTCACGAGTTCACATCAGGGAAAAAATTCACGATTGAGCTCCTGGATTTTCGGGCTGGAGCAGCATTTTTATGGATTCTAATAATTATATTAATGGATTATAATAATTATATAAAAATATTGTCGGTTTAGCAAATTTATAATCAATAATAGAGCTCCCAAGTATTCAGATATCTAATTATCCGGATATCCGAACATTGTTTCCGCTCTGAAAACTCGAAAGTTTACACAGAATGCGGTTTGCTATCGCGGTCAAAGTGTACCAGCTTGTTTCGAACTTGTTTTTATTTCAATAGGTTTGTGGTCCGTATTCCTTTGAGTGACACATTTTACGTTGCTTCGTTTTTACGCGATATAAAACCAATGCCCCAGAAAGTCGTGTTTCTGTTTATGGATGGGAAATACGGCGGAAATTCGATCTCCTAAAATTGATGACTATGTACCTTTTGGTGATTCAATTAGACTCGCGAGACGCTTTCGAAGAAGCATTCGCTCCTTCGCGCCTCGCAAACGTCCCGACAAACGAGAAATCACACGACTCTCATAATAACGATTCTCGCTTCGCTCCAGTTGCCCCTTGCCGCGCTCGCCGATGGAACTTTGTGTTTTTCTGAGCTACTGCTCCCTCGCCGGGCTGTAAGACTCATTAAAGTTTTAGTCTCACTCGGCATGATAACACGTTTTGTATTCCATTACCGGTAATGCCGCGTATCAACGCGAGAGACTGTCGCGCGTCTCCCACCGCACAATAATTAATGATCGCGCAGCGGATGGTTTATTAAACCACCGACCTCTAGACCATAGCGAAAAATAAGTCTAATTAAGCCCTCCATCGCGCTTCACTCTCCATTACGTCGGATGTCGTACTGTTACGCCGTATTAACATGAAATTACTGTTATCTTCGTACGCGTCTCTGAAAGAAATTATTGATCCGCGTGAGGGTAATCTTTATGGAACGCGAGTCACGCACCTGTGTATCCGATAACTTGCGCTCTCGTTTTCAATAACGCATTGTTCAGATAAAATAAATTCTCCTCCTCTTCTTTCCTCAAAAGGATCCATAACGACCTTGGTAGAAATTCAATGCAGTTTGAAACAGTTACCGAACAATTATATTAATTTTCATCTGGTATCTAGTGCTGTCAATGAAAATGCAGTGGATTAACTTTACGCGAACCAGATGACTAAAAGTCATGCTCTGAATTATGTGGGGTTAATTTTATCCTGAATATTATCCATCTACAAATGTAATATCATTTGAATAAAAATGCATTTTAAAATGGTGTTTGTTTTTGTAATAAGCGTCGTAGTTTTTGTAATAAAGATAGATGCACATTTTGAGAAAAATACGGCGGTTTTAAAACCGCTGGAGTTAATTTAAACCCACATGGTTCGCGGAAAGTTAAATAGCATTTGCATCTCGCGGTGGATCTGCACACGGCAGCTATCGTAAGTCCAGCCCGACTGTTTGGTATCGATCGCGGCGTGTCTTTTTTTTTCATTTTTTTCATCATCGTCCTTCTTGACCGCGCGGACGCGATAGGTCAAACGTCTCCACTCGATAACCGCTCGTAAAAAGACGAAATTTTATCATGTGCCCTGTCCGACGGTCCCCTCGTAATAATCTCGTTACAACAGCATCTCGGGAGAGATCCTTCGTCCCGGGGGATCCCTTCGTCTCATCGATAGCTCTCGATGTCGTCCACTCAGGTGTGGGCGAATTTCAGCGTGCGGTTTTTCAGCCTCGCGGATCGCGCGTGTAAAAACGCTCGAACGAGCGACGTGGACGTTATTTCCATCTCGCCCTCTGTGGTCGCTGTGTTTTTTTCAATTCGTACCTTTTTGTCGTTTCCCACGCAAGTTTCTATTGCTCCGTCGAAGCTCCTGCTCCGAAGTAGTTTCGATATATTATTTACCGAAGAGAGTTTCCTGTGCACGAAGCATCGAAGAAAGCTATTAACATAGCAAGCGGACCACGACGGCAAGCTTTGCGAAGACGGTAAGTTTAACGCGACACCATCCGCATAATAAAGCGACGAGCGACCATAGCCTTACGGCAGTCAACAGGTGCATTGAACAGCTCCGTGATTAGAGACCAATGTTTTGTTAATTTTATTTCCCGCGGGATATATTCGGCGAATTCAATGACAAAATTGACGTCGCGGTTGTAACCGCGACGCACCTATTTCTCGCGTGTGCTCTCGATTTGTTTCGCAAGGTGCTTGATTTATTTGATGGCTCGCGCGCGAATTGCGGTTTTCAGTGAAAAAGCATTGCCGATACGTCTCGCGCGCGTCACCGCATCAAATCGTACCGGAAATTTCAACGCGCAAGTTTTGCGGAGGATCGAGAGAGAAAGAGAGAGAGAGACAGAATGAGTGAGTGGTGTTTACCAAATTGGAAAATTGTGCTCCCGTTCAGTTTCGTGAGGTAACGAAATGGATAATTCTGTCATCTGTACACCTGCGAAGCTGAAGTTGCGTTGTTAACCTTGATAAGAAAACAACATTGTTCCTTTACCTTTAATATCGGCGCGACCGAGTTGTAATTTAACAATAAAGCTATGTTGTTTGTTTTTAAAAAAACAATAAAGACGTAACTCTCCGTTTCTGGCATCTTCAAGCATAGACATGCATCACGGAGAAAACTACTATGGTCACCATACCTATTCTATGGTTAGAGAGAAGATTTATATAATTACAAGTGAAATAGATACGACACTAGAAGTTATTTTTATTACATACTTATCTATATAGTTCTTATAATATATAACGTTCAATTGGTACATTCTCGTATACATAGTTGCCTCAACTAAAGGAATATTGCTGTCTCTCTGTTGTAGTTTGTAGAACAAATAATTGGGAGACTCGTAGAGTTTGATCACACAATACAGTACTGAGAATACTATACAAATACACATGGATAAGCAGTAAAAAAAGTTAATGTACCACTTTCACATTATTATGGTTACTACAACCATCTTGTATGATCTTCAATGATTGAATGATTATTAAATAATATTCCAAATTAGCATAAAAAGAAATATCCTTTAACAAAATTTCAAAAGCTTTTTTGGAAATATTAAATATAAATATTATTAATATTTCAATTATTAGAATAATGTCCAATTACTAAGGCATTTACCTAATACTTTTTCTTTTACAAAAGATTTATGAAAACCGAACGCGTAAGTTGTAAATACATGAGAAAATGTTGTTTTTTTATTGCGCAATATAAAGCCTTTTATTTCATTCTTTCGTTCGTACACCAGAGCCAAAAGTTTCGAATCACCTACTAATTTTTTATAAAAACGAGATTTTTTATGTGCTTTTTATTTGTGATTTGCTGTTAAACTGTAATTTTTAAGAAAAATAAAAGTATTAAAACTGTTCCAAAACTGCTTCTCTTTCACAAAGTTTCTCTGTTATTCAATTTATTATTCAATTTAAAGTGATTCCAAATTTTTAGCCAGTAGTGTACATTTTCCTCTATTCGTGCGTAACATAAAAAAAACATTATTTTGAAAAGACTCATATTCTTATCCTGGCACTCAAACTCGTTGGGAAAATCGGCAAGAGGGCGTGACAATTCAGCAGTCACGATAATTCGCTCATTTCGCTTACACACAACCACGATGTGACACTATAAAATTTCAAAACAACAGCGCGCGCGAGAGAGATAGAGAGAGATGAGAAATTGATCTTTTTTCTTGAGAAATAAAATGAACGGCAGTTTCGAACGTGTCATGTTGGATAAACAACGACGCCATTGTTACTGCGACTGGGAAAAAACGGAAATATGTTTTTCGCCTGCTCCTTTTTCTCACAGGAACGATCCATGCGCGCGAATAAAAGTGAATAATCGTTATAACGCACGTTATGTACGCCAGTAACCGTATAAACGTCCGTCGATTCGTATGGCCCCGCGTGCTTATACGAAGAACGCTACTTATCGTAAAGCGCTTTAATGTCGCATAAAAGCGTAGCTGCAAAGCGTCATACTTACTTTCTTTCTTTCTCTCCCTCTTTCTCTCGTTCTCTCACTCTCTCTCTTATTTTCGCGTGAAACTGAATACGCATGTCACGCGCGCCTAATTTGCATCTTTCTCCTTCTTCATTTTTTTCTTTTCTTTCGGAAGGACACGTGTGTACCGTCATTTATCGGAGCTTGCCAACCCTTCGTCCCGATAAGCCGGTGATCACCCTCCCTCAGTCTTGACGGTATCACAGCCGTGCGCGATTGTGTTGCAGATGAGCCGGCGGAGAAAACGGCCGCGGAAAACATCCACGAGCTCTACAGGCTCCTGCTGCAACGCAACGCATTGGACAACGCCGGCTTCGCCGGCATCCCTCTGGAGCATCTGATGATACGAAAATCGCAGAGATCGCCGTCCCTGCGCCTTCGATTCGGTCGTTCCGGACCGCGCGCCTCTGTAAGTTGCCGTTACTTCGTATGTTCGTGCACGTTCGTGCCTGGTCTCCATAAGCACCTTATGACCTGCTACCTCTTTCTCTCTCTCTTTTTCTGTTCGTTCCTTTTCTCTTTCGTCTGTACTGACGTCTGTACTGACGATTTCTCGATTACTCTCGGCTGGCTCAACTGGTTCACTCTTACACTCTCGTAAGGTCCGCGTATCATGCTCGCTTAATGCACTGTTGTAATTACTTTCTATTTTACAAGCAATGTATTCTGAGAACACTCGCGATATTAAGGGGATATTCTGGTATAAAAAAGATATTCTTCTGAAGTGTTTTATTGGGGAACGAAATAATCGAATAATGTCAAACTCTGCGTGTTCTTTTAACTTTATTTTAAGAATATATTTTTATTGTCTAAGCAAAAGAAGCTCTTCTTCTGTTATATTCTGATTACTAAAAGCTCGTATAAAAAACGCATATGAATGGTGTAAATGATTATGGCTTTCCTAGGTATCCAAAACGCGAAAACCAAACATTCTTTTATTTAAAAGAAGGATAGCTGCCACCTGAACTTGAATTAAACCAATATTATCATTCTGGGAAAAATTTCACAAACTTTTTATTGAAAAAAAATAATTTTTCCTCAAAGAATTATTAGTATTTTATTAGAAAAGAACAAATATATAATGTTTGTTCTAGTTCAATTTTGTGTGTATATGCTTCTACTAAGATCCTAGTAAGGATATAAAATACAAAAGAGTATTTTTGTCAGGCAATAAAAATATATTTTTAAAATAAGGCTTATAAAGAATATGCAAAGAGTTTAACGTTATTCCCTTTTTTCGTTTTCCTACAAAATATCACGAAAAAAATACCTTTTTCCTGGCTTTTTAAACCAGAATAGTCCATTAAAGAGATAGAAGGATTTATTAGATCCAAAGGGATGAGACCCTTCCCTCTTCAGATACAGTAGGTTGCAAAAAAACGATTTAGACACAATGAGTAAATTTAAAATTGAAAGTTCACCAAACTGTCATAACTGGAAGTCATTGCTGACGAACGCATACGCGATAATGATGCAATTTATAATATAATTAAGACTACTGAATAATAAGTAATAATATTAACATCAATATAATGAATAATATAATTACTGGGTGAGCCTATCACATAATAATAACTCTATATTTTGACAGAGTTTGTTGAGCTGCCAACTTTATTGCGTCTACCGTCTTGCAACTCATTGTACAAGATATTGCACTCATATGCAAGTCAGTACGATAAGTTGCTCATACGTTTCGTTGGCAGGCGCGCGTAGTTGTTCGCGATCTCAGTAAATCTTGATTATCTCTCACTTGCGCGCTTTCTTTCTTATGAAATTTACATTCCAAGTGAACATTCCACTAAGGCTTATTGAGACTACACGCGCCAACCAACGAAATGCATAAGCAACCCGTCGTACTGACTCATATGTAAATGCAACATCCTGCATACGTATACATTAGGATTCATTAATGCGTTTATACTTCCGGTATCTCGAGAATTGAACTTTTTCGATCTGGCGCATCGTTTCTCAGTAAGCGTGAATCGTGACTGTTAGTAGTTAGCCGGTTCTTTCAATAATTAACAGTCACGATTCACATTTACTGAGAAACAATGTGCCAGATCGAAAAAATCCAATTCTCCAGATATCGGAAGTGTAAAAGCATTAATGAATCTTAATGTACATATATAAATTTGAGTACGATATAAAAGAAAATTAAACAGAGAAACAACAAGGAAAATTATTTTGTGTGCAATAGAATTGATACGTGTTTTGACGCTTATGAATTCTCAAGCTATTTTACAAAATTTTATGACAATCAGTTGTTAGAAGGGAAGAGGGGAGATGAACTGTATGAATTTGCTCTTGTGTTGTCTTGAAACTTTTCAATAGAGTAAGATTTTAGATTGGAGTTGGAGTTTTCTTTTCGTCTTTTCTTCTATTTCACTCTAAAATTATTTACACGGTTTCTCCGCACGAGATTAAGTACGTTCAAACGAGCGAATGAATTGCGACGCCGCGTATGAAGTTGGAGACCGCTTGGTTGGCTGAAAAGAAATATAACGGAACATATCCGGGAAAAACTCATCAGAGGTAAATCAACAAGCTATCTTGCTATGTTTACTGATATTTGCTTATTTTGCGAAAACTGTCCGCAAACATATTCTCGAAAGGATTATTAATCAGAGAGAAGATGAGTGACCTACAATTCGTGTTTTCCACGATTTTAAACGAACGTTTTTTTTCTTCGTACAATCATAAAAAATCAGCAATATGAGAAACAATAATATATTTCTTTTCACAGTATGGTTTTAGAGAAAATAGGCTTTGTCATTCGAATGAATCGCTACGTGTAACGCTACTTTTCTTCTCTCGTGTGCGTTTTTGTTACAAGATTATCACTTTGCTACAAGCGTTTAATGGTAAAAGAAGCGTTGATGTAGAGCGTACAACACGCTTGTGATAAGAGACGAGGTTAACAGCGGATGTAACAGAGGATCAGCGAAGGAATCCTCGTTTTGCAACATGCGCTCGGCGGATATGCGGAGAATACACTTTGAAACGCATACGTTGGTAGGTCCCGCATGGATTACGAAACTACTTCCGTTTTCGAATACATGCCGTTTAATTCGTAATGCTTTTCGAGCTGCATTTCCCTTTGCACTCTATTCTTAATGTGGCGCGTATTTCCTAAGAGATTAATTTTCTCGTAATTAGTGAGAGTGATACAGCTGCCGTGAAGCAAAGCACCGACACGCGAAACGTGATATAACTCGGTAATTAAAAAGAGAGGAAGAAAGGAAGAGAGATATAAAGAAGAAAATTGAAACCGTTTCAACGAGAATTTGGTGTGTCGAGAGTCTAATAATGGAGAAACATGACGGAGACGCGACTGCGCGACGTGTATAAAATATTAATCGAAATTCACTTCACGCGGGATACATGAAATTATGAGTGTGTATATAAATAGGGTTTAAAAATATGCACGAAGGGTATTGCAAGTGTTTCTCTCGCGCTTCCCTCTGGCCACGGTTCCTTGAGCCGACTTAAAATCAATGGCCCGTCGGCGCAAATTTCGGCGCTCGTCATTTCAACGGCTTTCACTTCAATCTCTTACTACTTAACAAGCGGGCACAATGGCTTAAACGCTGCTCAGAGTGAGTGCCGGCTTGTTTTATTTATAGTTCCACCGTGTGATATTTCAAGAGCTGGTCGGTATAAATCGTCCTACATTTTTTCATGATAAATTTTGTAAGGTGTTCCCGACTACATAGCCCCTTACTCACTCATAAAAGCTCACTCGTAAAAGCTCACTCATAAAAGCGTGAAGATATTATTTTGCTTGGAGAGAGCTGCGATATCTCACTGAAAATTTGTTAAAAAATTTACCTTTGAACCTTTAGTTTTGTTAATGAGCCGCGACACACGCTCACATGTGAAACATGCCCCAGATTTCGCATGTTTTTCTTCGTTCGCGGATTTTATAAGCGATTCGAGCTCATAAAACTCGCTGCAACTTTTACAACTTCTGGCACAATCGTTTTTAAAGTTTTTTTTTTCTAATTGGTCTTTGCAAAATAAGATATTTTTGGTCGAAGTAAAATAAATTTTAGACTGAATGAACGATGAGAAATTGATCCATTTTAAATTATATTTCGTTACACATAAGAAATTATATTTTTCTTACAGTTCTTACAATTCTTGCGAGTTACTTTCCAGCACCCGATTCTTTTTCTTCTTTTTTTTATTAATTTTTATCTATTTTCGCACCTGACATCTAAATTACAGAATTCGTCAAGATCTACACTGAAAGAAATGCTTGAAAAATTTACTTGTGGGACATAAAGTTTATTTCGCAGGTGTTAAGGAGTTAATCTTGCAGAAATAAATGTTGTTTCTCAGAAATAAACTTTATACCCCAGAAATAAATTTATTTTTTTCCTCAGCGTGCAAATTGTTCAGCGAATTCATCTGCGACAGAAAAGTTGAAAAACGTGGTTGACTCTTCAGTTATATTTCATTAATTCGCATTGAATATCTACTAGAATTTTAACGAAGTCCCATAAGAGATATGGAGCGAAACGATCGTTTCGGCACGTGCGCTTTAACGCAGGAAATAAGCAAGCTGAATTTCCTACAGTTATGCCACGTTGACACGAGAGACTTGTGTATGTACGCGTGTTTGCTGAAAGTAGGTGACTTGGTCTGTTTTTTATCGCGTGCATACTCACGACGCGAGAAGTGCGCAATTTTATCGCGTATCTATTCGTAATGTTCCGTAGGCGAGGAATGCGTTTTAATAAATCAATTCTCCTCTCGCCTCGTTCCAGCCGTGAATTTCATATTCCGTTATGCTCGGAAATTACGTTTCCGTTCTCCGTACGGCACGACACGCTCGCCCGGCGGTGCGCCCGCTGAAAGAGTGGCCACGAAGTTTTCGCGTCCTCAAAAGCTCTCGGCAAAATCGCTCGACGAAGCGCGCGACCCTTTTCTGACAAAGGTGGTGTATCGCCGCGTCTGCATGTCGCAGAACCTCATCTTTCCCGATACGGCGCAAATATGCCAAATAAAGCACCGACTCGGGCCGTACACCGAGAGAGAGAGAGAGAGAGAGAGAGAGAGAGAGAGAAAGAGAGAGAGAGAGAGATAAGGAGCCGACGACCTGTCCTTTCCTCATGACAAACCATGGGGGAAATCGAAGACGACTAAAAAGATACGTCAGTCAGCGCCTCTCTGTACTTAGAAAGACTCCCTCGCGTTCCGGTTCAAATTCCGGCTTCTAATTCGCGTGGGGGAGTGACGCGCTAGAAAAGAACACTCTTGTTTTAAAAATATCCTTATTTTTGTCACGTGTATCTTTAAATGAGATTACACAGCATTAAACAAAAGTCAAGTTACTCGCATCAATATATTTTATATGTAATTCAACAAAGAAAAATATATACACTCTTATATTGAAGATTACTTTGGAATAATTGTAAAATACAGGTTTCTCCTCGTTGAATCATATAAAATATATTCTCGCAATTAACTTATCTTGGTTTAGCGCTGTGTAATCTCATGTAAAAAGTAATGTGTCAAATATGAAAACATTTTCCAAACAAGAATGTCTTTTTTTCTGTTTATTAACTCTTAAACACTTTGACCTAATCTGAACTAAATTTTGCATAGTTATTCTCTAAAACTCTGCGGGAAGTATAAGTTACCACTAGAGAGGAATCTGGATCCCTTGATCCTCATCCCCTGATTTCATCCCCTTGGTACTTTGTGATAATATAAGTTTAGATGTTCTACATACAAAAAGCCTGAGCTACGGCGGGTAGTTTAAGCTGGTATTCAAATAAAATTAAATAACATTGCGGAAATTCAACAATTCTTCGAACGAAATTACATATTGTTGCTCATATATGAAACAATGTTGTTAATTTTGGTATTGATTTTAAATTGATACAAGTTTTTTTTTCTGTACACGTGACAAACTCACCAACTATTCTGGCATCCGGGATCGATTTACAAACGATCGTGGTAAATTAATAGGACGACTTCAACCCTCGCCGAGCCTCGTGAGGTGACGAGTGACTGAAGGACCCTTTACCGATAGAATTCGCACGTTCGCTCATTATAATGAGAAAACTTTCCGTTCTGCCGACCTTGCCAATCATCCTACCTCGCAGGAAATTCTTGCCGAAGCACGCGCCGCGAGATTGTAAGCTTTCACCGTCGGCAATCGGCAGTCGGAAATAACGTAACGCATCAAATGAGATTTTTAGCTGTATCAGCGAACCACCCTCGGTATCGCACACGTCGGCGGCGGCGCGTGGACGTAATTTGCGAGGAACCACTCTTCAGCAATTTGTCCTGCGAAGAGTTCTGTGTTCCTTCATTAGCGTCGCGTGCATTTATACGGACGCGAAATAACGACTAATGATAATAATCGTAATAACGATGACATTTCCGCGGCAATTTACGACGGCGAAATGCGCGCGAGTTACTTTAGAATCATAATTCCGCATGAAATAACGTATCCATACTAATGACTCGAACAATTTCTGAAGCATGTTACCTAAAATTACTGGAGCGCGCGCCATATAAATTGATGTAACGAAGGGAGGCATTTCTCTGATTGAGCAGGACTTTCTTTCCCCGCTTAATCATACGTCGTGCAATCTCTCCTTGGAGAAGATTGTATCAGGAGTCGTTTAAATTAAGGGACTTCTCTTTCACCGCCAAATTCTATCTCTACTAAATTGCGCTCAATTGTCAACCTTTCGCTAATCAATCACCCGTGTTGCGCCTTGGACTATTCTTGGCGAACATGATGTTATGAGATACTGTGGGAACGCGCTCGAGGAAAATTTGTAAGCTTGAACTAACAAGCCGTCGATAACCAACCAAAATCAATTTATTTATTAAATTTTAATTAATGACCAAAATTTTTTTAGTTATTGACTTACATTTACCGGTAATAAAAAAAAGTAAATGAAAACTTTGCTTTTCAAAGTACTTCGATTCGCGAGTTACAATATTTATAAATTAAAATTAAATTAATAATAAAAGTTATAGAAGTTAAGATTGAGATTCTCTCTATGTAGAGGGTGTTGCATTTTACATATAGGTTGGTACGGCCAGGTTACTTACTTACTTGGAACGTAAACTTCAAAAGAAAAGAAACTCACAACTGAGTATTCCGTCAAGGCTTGCTGAGATCGCGCGCCTGTCAGCCAAAGGCAGACAACTGCTTTAGAAATGCCGTAATCATCTACTGATGGTCAACCCTTCGTGCTGAGCTGTATGTAAATACAACTCCCTGTATACCGAGAAAAAAATACTTCAAAATTTATTTGTGGGATATCAATTTTATTCGCACAGAAATATATTTTCTTTTCAGAAATATAAACTTTATTATAGAAATATTTTCTTTTCAGAAAAATAAACTTTATTGCATAGAAATAAAATTATTTCCTATAAATAAATTTTCAAGTATTTTTTTCTCAGTATACAATGTTGGGTCTGTGAGATCCAAACTACAGTGAAAAAAGTATACCTGAAAATTTAATTGTGAGATATAAAGTTTATTTCTTAAACTTTTATCTTATAAATAAATCTTCAAGTGTTTTTGTCAATGTGTTGAGAAAAAAATACATTCAAATTTATTTGTGGGATATAAAATTTATTCATAGAAATAAACTTTATTTCGCATGAATAAACATTACTTCACAGAAATAAACTTTATCTTATAAATAAACGTGCAAATATTTTCTCATAAAGCGTGTATATCTTTATGGTTCATTTTTTTCTATATCTCTAGAAAAATATGTCCAAAAATATTGATTTTTAACGAAGTTATTGCTGGGTTTGACATAGATTGAATTATATGTCCCAATAAATATGATTATATACGGAAGATTAAATTGAGGATAATTTGATAAATTCAGACTGACATATTCCATTATCTTTTATTCTATATACGTGTAAATCGCTAAACTAATATTTTTATTATTTAATTTCGCGTGCTGCATACATACAGAAAAAAAGGTTGATTTATATTAACGCGAAGTTTAGTTGCAACAAACGAACCAACACGTTTTGGTCAAAGCAAACGAGATTTCTGTTTTTTTAGAACTAAATTCGGGATATAAGAACCACATAGAAATTCTGTGTCCTTCAATAAAAATACATCGGTAAATACGTTGGTCTGTTCACTTAATTTAAAGTCACGTTAAGACGACCAAACTTTTTTCCCCGTGTACATTAATACTTAGTAATAATTTTATCCCATGCCTTTGTATCTCGCATTTCTCGTTTCGCGTTGTACTCCGCTTTTCAATTGTGTCTCAAGACCGACGAGAGCAGGACAATCGGCGCGCAAAGCGCTACCTTTTGCACAGCTCTGGGGCTTCGATTTATCCAGCATTAAACGGGCTTCGGCCGCACGAGCGAATCGCGACGGCGCGCATTTAACTGGATTTTCACGAGCAATTAAGTAATTAGCGTCCTCGCGGTGTGTTTCAGGCGGGGGTCTTGCCCAGACCGATGGGCGCGGCGGCGGCGGCGGCGGGATACGACGACAACAATTAATCGGCGGAGCTAATTCACCCGGAGGCACCTTTTCGTTTCGTTCGTCGATGAAAACGCCTACCCTCTCTTGTATAAATTACGCATAAATTTGTCTCACACTCAGTGCTCTGTTCTGCGCGCGCGCGCGCGCGTTCGCCGATCTTCCCAAAGCTCTCTCGTTATGCTCCCTTAATGAGAAACAAAGCAGGTGCACTGACAAAAATTTTTCTCGTATTTATCTCGAAACTAAAATATTTAGTACATACGATTTGGTTGGCATTGTATGGTTTCCACTTGTGTCAAGCACATGTATCATTGAGAAAGCAAGACACCCAGCGGCAATTAGATTTGTTAGTTGCAAACACTCTCTCTCTCTTTTTCTCTTTCTCTTGGCTTGAATCCTATTTTGTTTCCTAGATTTTTGTTTCGACCACGAAATCCTTTTTTTAATGTGGTAGAGAAGGGCAATGAACAATTCGCGCGACTCGATCGTGTGATCCAAGGTTTGATCGGAAATAGGCGGGAGAAGGGGAAAGAGAGCGAGAGAGAGAAAGCGGACACGCGCGCGCTCACGCGCGCGTGTGTGTGTGTGTGTGTGTGTACGGCATGCGTGACCGCGCGTGTTAATTAATGAAATTCAAATCGCGAAGACGCCGGAGACGGCGATTGATCGCGCGCAAATACGCGTATTAAGTTCTTTCGCTTCGCGCACAACGCCGCGTCATCGGCGTGTATCCGCGACGTAAGAATTTCCGCGTCGCGGCAGAGCCACGTTTTTCACGCAGTGGAACTCCTCCGCATCCGCCGTGCATTCGAATTCTGACGCGGCCGTCACCGACAGCCCGCCACGCCGTTAATTAGCTGGCGGCGGCGACACTGCAAAAGGACACTTGGCCTAAGTGCTTCATTCGACGCGGGGCAGCCGACTAATCCGCGCATCTCGATCGTTACGGCCGCTATTATTCCTCCGTTTAATTGTGCGCGTCGGCAAACCGGGACGCGGTGCAAACGTATTATTCCGCAGCGAGCTACACACGCCCGAACTCCGCCGGGTGATTTGCGAACGACAGACCGGCCGAATGACGAATTCGGTGCCGATTGTCATCGGCGCTGAGCGAAACGCAGCTTCTCCATTAGCCACGTCCGTCGTTTCCGGATGAGACGAATTGGATATTTACGAGCGACGATCGATAAAACGCTACTTTATCACCGGGGTCTTGCGTCCTCGCGCGCTTTATTGGCGGACTTAATTTTCTGTTTCTTCGCCGTGTCGGAGCTTCTCAGCAGTGTATGTATCGAGCAACTCCGTAGAACCCTCCGATTATAACTATCTGATGACTGATTTATCGTCTTAAGGCAGATGAGCTGTCATCAGCCGCTGTATACGGGAAAAACTGGTCGGATTAGCCAAATTTCTCGTGAAATTCGAATGAGCCAGACACTCCCGGTTGAATTCATCAGAACTCTTGTTTGATTAGGCAGAGTTTCTGATTGATCCGAACAGAATTTAGATAAGTTCAAGCGGAACTTCCCGGTTCGTTCATATTCCGCCAGAGATCTGGCTAATCCAGTCGAGTGTAGGATCTTTAAACTCGATAGCTCCGAGACGTTGTGCAACTGTCAACAGCTGGCCTGTTGCCTCACCGGTCGATCGCTAAAAAGCGTGGTCTCTCGATAAATGTGCCAAATAACATGTGTGTGACCGTTGTATGTGGTAAAATAATAATAATGATAAAAGAAAAACAGCTCCCCACCTTCCTCCCCGCTCTGTTGTCTGTGAGAATGTAACACGCAGAGGCAGACTAAGAAGTGTCGATGCTGAAAACTTCGCCCCACGAGCGGGCGCGGAACCCTCCGGTGCGCGATATCGAAAAATCGGTTAGCTACATCTGTGCGGTACGTACGGGTCGTTCGATCAAGCCGTGAAGAGGCTCGTGTCTCAATTGTGTGAATATGTCAATTTGCAAAATTAAAAATAAATTATTATGTAACACTGTGTCACACTTATTCCTCTGCAGCAAATGTGTTCAAGATTCTTCATCCTTCACGAATCCCGCGCGACTGAAAACTTTTTCCTACACAGAAAAAGAACGTTTTGTCTTGAGAATATCTTTATCTCTGACATGTAAATCTTCAAATGTAAGATTATAGAGCATTAAACGAAAATAAATTACTTGCATCAATACGTTCTGTATGTATATATGTGACTCGACAAAGAAAACTATTTTTATTATTCAAAGATAATTTTCACGAATGGAAAGCATAAAAAATTGAATTGAGAGCATTATGTTTTTAGATGTCTAGAGAAGATATTATCAAAATAATCATATCGAACTTTTTACACGAGACTATTATAATATTCAAATAAAATAATAACATTGCTGAAATTCAAAACCTCAAAATTCTTCCAACAAAATTATTGCTCATGTATGAAACAATAATTGCTAATTTGAGTGTATTGGTTTTAAGTGGATACTGATTTTTTTCTATGTACTTCAATAGCGCGTACTACATTCTCTAATCTCGTCAATTAAATTACATAATACGGAGAAAAATATTAGAGTGTTTTTTATAATATATATTATAAATAGTCTAAAAGATTATTTCTTTTACTTGAAACGGGCCGATCTAACGAACGAACAGATCCGTTTGATGGACTGCACCACTTCCTTGTCCTCGAGGCTGAGATCACCGATGTTCTTGAACTCCGGTCGTAGAAGAATCTGACTACGTACACGCTCCAATGTAATCGACAGCGGCATCGTCAACACCCTCGACCACTTGGTCGCCTCGTAATCAGCCATAAACTGAAATGCACAAGCGCGATTATTTGCAGAGCGGCTTTGCCAGTGGATCTCGGGATTTCGCGGAGTAAGACTGATTCATCGACCTGATCAAAGCACGTGTCTTCGATGTGGAACATTATATGCGTGAGGGGCTTCACCACGGGCGAAACTTCTGGTAGATTAATCAGATCTATCTGTCTATGCTTCTCATCACGATGTAAATTGGTCAATACCCAGTCGGACGCTCGTATTAAATATTCATATGTGATCTAGGTGGCAAAAGTTATGCTAATGAATGTCGATTCATTCACTTTCTATTTCACGGTCACGTAAGCTTCACTCACTTTCAAAGAACGTCGTCCAGTGTTCGTGAATAATAACTCGTCCGTGTAAGTCTCGATGACGCAAGACATATTCTGCAACTCGGTGTTTCTCGAATTTTCACTTTGTTTCTCGAGGCTGCAACGAATTTTCTAAATGAGACGAATTGAAGTATACGCAATTTTTAATTAGTATTAATTAAATTAAAATTCCGCTCAAATTGGATGTAGCAATCTATCTTTCAAAGATCGTTAACTATTATTTATACAGCTAAAGTATTAGATCGGCAAAAGATTAGTCATCTTTCTATTAAATTCCCGTGGAAAATTTGAATATTAAGAGGGAAATAGAAAGTCTTGTCTATATTAATAGTTATTACTCGAAACTCTTCTGAAATGAAATCTGGATTCAAAGTTAGATAAGAGTTTTTTTTACTTGAATCGCAATTATAGATATAAATATAACGTACGTTACATAACTCTATTGAAAAACTTGGATCTAACTTCAAATAAAAGTCTGAGTATCTCACATAAGATAAATTTCAGATGACAATTATTAATTTAAGCCTTAAATATCTTGAAGATTAAATATTTTAGATACCTAAGATATCTAAAAAAAAATCAATATTCAATGTATCTAAAAAAAATTTTAAATATCTAAAAATATCTCAAATCTTAGGTATCTAAAAAATACCAAGTCAATATTGTTCGTTTTATTTGTAAAATTAATTAATCCTTCGATAATTTCGTTTTCTGTTTTATTTGACAAACCTTTTTGCGTCAACCTAAAATATAATTAGATATAATATTAAAATCATTTAAATTATAATGATTGCAAAATGAAAAGCTCGTTTTTATATTAAACGCACTGAGAAAAAAATTTACTAAATTTCAAAAAACGTTTGTTTGGATAATACTGTGAAGATATTTGTTTAAATTAAGTAATTATTTTCTAAAATTAAATAAAAAAGTTTTAAATATAAATTTGTTTCTTTAATTTTAGAAAATAATTACTTAATTTAAACAAATATCTTCACAGTACTATCCAAATAAACGTTTTTTGAAATTTAGTAAATTTTTTTCTCAGTGCGGCTACGTTTCAACCATGGACATCCGGATATGGACGCACCTCTCCTTCACGCCGAGCAGGAAGGAGTCTATCTGTGCCGTATGCTTGTTATCCTCGTCGATGCTGCAAATCGCCTCGGCGAGCGCCGTGGCGGCGGTCGATCTCTCATACGGATTGAAGGGGCTGAGCTCACAGCAGCTCATGTTCCCGGAACTTGGTGTACCCTGGGGCTCGTTTCTGCCTTTAGAGGACACGTTCAGGAGGGTGGAATACAGGGCAGCGCACAGAACTTGGAGCAGCACATTGCCGCCGATCGGTCGGCAGTGCGCAGGGATATTGTCGTTTAACGTGAACGCGGCGCGCAAAACGGAACTCGACGCCGTCACATACAACTCAGAGAAGCAGCTGATCGCCAGGGACATCGTCTGATATATACTGGCACCTGTCTGAAAATGATTCTTGGGCTCTATTAAAATACCAACTTGGGATCTGTCGAACTGCTTAATTTATTTCGTGCCTCCGCGCGCGTGACGCACGATTTCTAGCACGCAGTTGTCTACGTAAACTTCAAGAGAGATGACTGAATGATATTGTTATTAAAAGAAAAAAAAATGGATGTAGAATTAAGCGAAATATAAATTGAGTTACTTTCGCGGCTTCCAAAAGCATCTCTGCCACTGGCTGCATCATGATCTTCAGCGGCTTCACTAACGCATTGAGCCACGGCGGCCTCGATTGATTCCACACCTTGAAGCAACAGGTGAATCACAGTTATCGATCTTTTATTCAATGAAGTAATAATTATAAAATTTATACAATAAATTGACCAAATATCTAGTGAAATATGAACGAATTAAAATTCCGGTTGAAATTATCTGAATTCTGTTCAAAAGTTAACAAAATTCTGGTTAATCAGAAATCTTGTTTGATCAATCAGAATCTTGTTAACTTGAGCAGAATTTTGGTAACATCAAACGGAATTTTGGTCTATTCATATTTCGGTTATTTGGTTGAATCAAACAAATTTTTTTTTCTTGCAGGAGCACTAGTACAAAAATTAACGTCTCAAGTTTAACGAAAGACAAGCTGTAAATGCTCTTGAGCTACTTCTCTTTTCGTAAAACTATTTTTATGTTGAAGAAGGCTCCGTACGCCAGACGTTAATAACGTGCAAGACTATGACTCGTGTATTAATAGCTGTCACCTGAAACTGGTCTTTCATGCGAAGTACTTTTAGACTTTTATTCAGAATTAGATCCACGTTTTTCCGTTGAATTATGATATCTGTGGTATTTGTATCTGTAGTCGCGACTCGACTGAAAAACTCTTATCTAACTCTGAACCTAAATCTGAGTATCTCACTTGAAATATTAATTCGCGTCTATAAGTTCTTTCTTTGAGATTATTTACACGTGATATAAGAAATACAAAGAATATTCCTGTGTACACATTTTTTTATAGGAATAAATTTTACCTAGAAACGTTTATTTTGCTCTCGAGATAATTTTACACTGGCATATTTGCCGTTATTTGACACCTACAGTTTGTCTTTCACGTATTATTTATCTTCTTGCCAAAACAAACTCTGTATTTAAATTACAAATTATTCGCTCGCATTAAACATGCCTAAATATTACGTAATTTACAATATTTTAATGAGAATCGATTTATCACTTTATCTCGTTGAATAATATTTCGTAAAAGTGCATGACCTGCTGTCTGTCCAAATAATTGGACCAGTTTGGATCCTGCTTCAACGCCGGTATAATTATGTGCTCCAGCTCGTTGACAGTGACCACCAGTATATGAAATAAACTATATAGCGCCAAAGTAGGTGTTATTTTCAGTGATTTATCACAGGCTGATCCATTGCACAGAAAACCGCTGCAACTCATCTGCTCCTTCTTGGATTTATCAGCCGTATCGTCCACGCATGTGAAGCCCGTGGTTTGACGCACCAAGGTTTTCAGCAGCATCTTCGCTACTACATAATTGTCCATCGATATCACCTGTGAGTAGAAAAATAGAATATTTTCTTATGTCTGCCGATCGCACCAAAACTGCAGAGCTCTGTCGTATAATTGCGCGAGCTATAACCTTCATTAGTTGAGGCCAGTTAGGTTGAGGCTGATGCCTCATAACGTTCAATTCAAGAATGACGGTTTTATCTTCGGATAACGTTACAATGTCTGCTGGATTATCAATCAAGCCTAACAAGTTTGGAGCGCATATTAACAACCAAGCGGCTGGACCGCAACGAGGACGCAGAATCGCCAAATTCTCTAATCCATGCCGAAAAATCTGTGAAATAATTGCTTATACTAGTATAAAAAATAATGGAATAAAATAAGAAATATAAAATGTCAAAAAAAAATTATTAATATATATACTAATATATACTAATATATATATATTAATATATACTAAATTATTAGTATATATATATATATATATATATATATA